ATAAGAGCTTAATCTTAGTGGTTTAACATTGTAGATAAAATTTTGTTTTTCCTGAGCTACTGTCAATTCTTTCCTTGTCTTTGATTTTGGAGGGTTTGATGTTTTTGATTTTGGAGAGTTTGATTATGATATGTGTTGGTAATTTTATTTTGGGGCCTGTTCAGGTTCTTGAATGCTTATTTTCTCATCTTTCATGATGTTAGGGAAATTTTCTTTCAGCTGCTCTTCAACGATTGTGTCTGTGGTTTCCTTTGTTTCTTCTTATTTTGGAATTCCAATCACTTGTAGGTTTATTCCTCTTCATGTTATACCCCATGAGTTTTCTTCGGAGTTTTTCATTCTCTTTTCTGCTAGTTCTTGTATTGTAACAGTACTGAGAGATTTATTTTCAAGCTCGCAAATTCTAGCCTCCATTGATTCAGTTATACGTCTTTGCTCTTATAGTGTATCAGCTATTTATGATATTTTAGTATTGCTCATCTGGACCTCTGTTTTCAGGTTTTATATTATCTCTATTGATGTATCTATTTTGTTTGATTGTTCCTGTAGCAGTGTTCTAATTTCTTTCTAGTTTTCCTTGACCTTTCTGTGGAAAATTTTGATATACCTCTGTATTATTCACCCGAATTTTTTTTCAGGTAGTTCCCATGCCTCTTCTTGCTCAACATTTTTCTAGCTTTTCCTCTTGGTTGTTTGTTTGAGCGACACTGCCTTGTTTCTACATGTGAGTAGCATTTTATTGCTGCTTTTTAGACATTGTGGTGTGTTTGTATTAAGTTGATAAAGATATGTTGGTATATTCTTAGGCACTCACCAGTTGCCTATTGGTGGGTGTGATCAGGAGATGAGCTTCTGTGTTTACTGTTAGTACAGTTCAATTCAGAGTATATTTGGCAGATGTTGATTGTAGTCACTGCTCTTGTGTATAGCAGCTGATATTGGCTCTTGCCCAGTTTGTGGGGTGTTTGAAGGTGTAGTTGTGGCCAGTTCCTGTCTCTTATTGGGTGTGGTAATAAGATACAATGCTCCCACAAGATAGAAGAAGGTCCAAGAAACAAAACTAAAAACATATATGGAAAAAAAAACAAGAAAAATGCAAGATAAATAAAATAAATAAAAACATCCAGGAAACAATAGCAGGGAAATAAGAGTAATTCTTTAGCACCACTTAATGGACTCTTTACTTCACAGCTGCCTGAGAAATTTCAAGATGGTCCCTCTGTGCTTCTCTGACCTGTCACCAACTTTTCTTTTTCTCCCCCTCAAGTCCGCTCAGCTGCTATTCTTAGAGAGAGCTACTCCAGAGCTAGCCAGGGCTGATTTGGAAGACACTGCGAGGATGGGCTGTTTCTATTGTCTGTCCACCCCGCCCCCCTTCATTTATGTGTCTAGATGTGGGAGGCAAGAGGAACCTTCCCTGGGGATGTCTACTCATACAGGTCTTACCTCTAGTCACCAGACAGGTAATGAGTAGAAAGAAATAATAGTAATAATAATAATAATCACACCTTTTTACTCTGCAAGTTGAAGGCAGGCTTCTGTAGTGGGAATGCTCTTTTATCTCTCATTCTGCTCATGCCCATTCAAAATGGCTGCAGCGGGTCACGTTGGCTGACCAAAATCAGAAGTCACCTCCTTTCTTGCTTCTGTTCAAATTCTTTATCCTGGTAAGCACTCGATCCACTTATCTATCCCTTTATGTGAAGCTCAGAGTTCTGAGAACATCCTCTAAATCAGTTTCATCTGGTTTTCTGTGACTTTACTGAAGAGAGTATGCACAGCTTTTCTGCCTAGTCCACCATCAAGCCCCATCTCTTTCCTCACCAACTTGTCTTTCTTTTAGGCATATGGACATTTTCCTATCACTGACAATGTATACTTCGAGGCAGGCCTTGAGCTATTCTTTAGACAATGTTGTTCCTCTTCAATTTGTCATTCCCAGTATAGTTGTGTGTGTCAAGTTGGTCCTGACTCATAGTGACCTTTTATAGGGTTTCCGAGGAGTGGCTAGTGAGTTTTTACTACTGTCCTTATGGTTAGCAGTCTGGTACTTATCCTATGGTGCCACACCAGGACTCCTATGATGTTTCGATTAAAAATAACCAATATCAGTCTGTTTTAGCTCACACTAAAGTGTGGGATACTAATCTTTATGTGTTTTATTTCACTTTTTGAGGACTTCAAATTTTCCTGTATTCATGCTTTGTATATTCCATATTTGCATTATTGCTGATGTTTGCAGCTGTTTCTATTCATTTTGAATTGTGCCACATTAGCAGATGAATTTCTTGAAAGCTTTTCTCCATCTAGGTCATTAAGATGGACTCTTCTATGAAAAAGCAACTCTTCCTTGGTTATATTTTGAGTGTCTTCCACCTTGTGGAGCACAAGTTGTGGCACTGTATCAGATAATGTTCGACTATTTATATGGTTTTCACTGGCGGCCAGTATTTTTGGAAGTAGATTACCATCTTCTTCTAACTATTCTGTCTTATTCTGGAAGCTCTACTAAAACTTGTTCCCCATGATTGACCTTGCTGGTATTTGAAATTCTGATGGCTTAATTTCCAGCAACACATAAACTACAATAATCTGACAAACTGACAGATAAATTGTAGTAGTATATATGGACAGGGAGCTGCCAGAAATTCAAGTCATATTCAGAAGAAGACATAGAATGAGGGGGATATCAATGCTTATATCACATAAATTTTGGCTGAAAGCAAATAATACCAAAAAAAATTTTTATTTGTGCTTTATTGACTCTACAAAGGTATTTGATTGTGTGGATCATAACAAACTGTGTATTACATTGGGAAGAATGAGAATTCCAGAGCACTTAATTGTGCTTATGAGGAAGAGGCAATTGTTTGAACAGAACAGGAGAATATTGAATGGCAAATAATCTAAGAAAGTGAACTGTATGAAAAATGTGGCATCAGAGTTGGGGGAAGGCTCATTAACAACCTGTGATATACTGATGATACAAGCCTTGAGGTCCTGAAAGGGAAGAGGACTTGAAACACTACTGATGAAGATCAAAGATTATAGTTTTCAATATATGAACCTCAATATATATTAAAAAAAAAAGTCCACAGTTGAACCATGGTAAACCAGAAAAATATTAAAGCCAATAATTTAATTTAATTTTACTTGAATCCACTATTAATGTCTCTGGAAGCAGCTGTTAAGGAATCAGTTGACATATGGCATTAGACAAAAAAGAACATTTTGAAGACTAAGCTATAGCTTTATCTGAATCGTAGTATTTTGAATTACCACATATGCATGTGAAGGTGGGCATTAACAAGGGAAGATCCAAGAAGAATTGATGCATTTATATTTTTGTGAAGAATACTGTCTCAAGCACTTCGAACATGTTTTCAGGAGGGATATTCTCTGAGTTCCAGGAGGATCTCATGCTTGGTAGAGACATTTTTTTTTTTTTTGTAAAAAAGGAAGATGTTCAAGGAGATGGATTTGACTCAGTGGCTGTGGTATAAGACCTCTGGCAGTTTCATTCTGTTGTACATAGGATTGCTGTGAGTTGGACCTGACTCAAAGACACCTAACAGCTAACAACAATGTTGCTGACTATTGAGATTTGATTGTTGATGCTTGTTTATTGTAGTGTTTGTTTTTTTATTTTTGCTTGTGCCGTTCTGTAATTAAAAAAAAAAAAAAAAAAAATGCTGCTGTACAACAGTGGACCAAAAGGAGAATGAGAGGATCAAGCTCTCCACAGACAGTTTTCTCCTTATTTACATAAAATTTTTCGCCCTGAATTGTCCTAGTAAATATTCCATGTCTCATTAGCTTCAAATAGTTCATAAGATTCTTCCTGTACTTTTCCACCTCCACACACTCTTTTATGTTTACCTTCAGGACTATCAAGCTAAATATGCAAATGAAGAACATTCAGGCTTAGAAAAGCTTTTTTTTTTTTTCATTTTTGATGATTTTTTAAGTTATTTGTATATATTTTGTTCCTGATTTTTATATATTTAGTACTTTTTGGTTTAATTATTATATTTTTTAATATTGCCTTCAATGTTTTGAAGAATGACCTGAGATGCTTCATTTTCATAAATGAGAGATATTTTAGAATTGTAAAACTTATAAAACTTGCTGATACGTTGTTTACAAGTAGTATTTTGAGAAGTCCATTTAAATTTCTAAGAATCAAAATTAAGCATAATTTTCTTAGGAAATGCTATTTTCATTTATCAATTGTTTTTTTAAAGAGTCCTAACAGTGCCATATTTTCTTTTCTTTCAAGATACGGAATATATGAACGCTGCCGTGAGTTGGTGGAAGCAGGTTATGATGTTCGGCAACCAGACAAAGAAAATGTTACACTCCTCCATTGGGCTGCCATCAATAACAGAATAGACTTAGTCAAGTATGTGTTTTCTTTATTTTTAAGTAATTAATAATAGTTGTTAGTATAAAATTATTAGAAACAATTGCATAAGATTAATGACTTCTAAAAGTTAAGATTTTAAACTGTAGGTTCTATATACTTTTTTGGAAAAAAATTATCTTTAACAAGTATTGAATGCCTTTTATTAGCCAGGTACTGTACTAAGTGCTTTTCTATATATATTTAATTTAGTCTTAATTATTGAAAGAATCCTATGTGAAAAATAACAATTACTACCAGTTTATTAATGGGGTAATTTAAACACAAAGAATTTAAATATGCTAGAATTGAAGTCAGCACTTTAATTCAGGTAGTTTGATTTGGTGCCTGCATTCTGAACACAGATTTCATGGGGGGAAGTAACTAAAGAAAATATAATAAAACCAAAAAATCCCAAATTTGTTGATGTTGAGT